TTCGGTATCCTGTTGGCGGACTCTGATGAAATCCGACTCTACCCGCTCTAGAATCTGGCAATATCCGGGTTGTTCCTAAAGGTAGCTCTGAGCGGATGCGATGTGATTCGATAGGTTTTTAGCGGAAAACGTCGGCTTCCGGAGAAATCTGGTGTCGGATCCGATGGCTTCCGGTATGATTCACATGACGGATTGAATCATCTGGATATATCCGGGCTTTTCCCAAAAGGTAGTTCTGAGCGTATACGACATGATCCGATTGTCGGTTTCGAAAGAATCCGACCGTATCTCTTCCGACGTAAACCGGTTCGGAATCCTGTGCATGGGAATCCGACACAAACTGGATCGGATCCGATCGGTTTTTAATGAAAGGTGTCGGTTTCCGGAACAATCCGGTATTGGATCCGACGGTTTCCGGTAAGATTCACAGGTCGGATTGGATCTCCTGGGAATGTTACCACAAGAAGAATCGATTGCTATTTTAAAACAATTTCTTAATCATTTTAAATATGCACATGTTCAACGTATGACCGTTGATGCTATAGAAAGTTTAGTACGTATTGTTTTAATGGAAAATGTTTTCATTTATGAAAAAAAATATTATCGTCAAATAAAAGGTGGTGCTATGGGATCACCATTGACCTTAACATTAGCAAATATATTTATGTGGCATTGGGAGAAAACATTAGTTGAACCACAAAGAAATTCTAATGAATTATATGGCCGGTAAGTTCATATGTTATGCAAAGAATGATTCGATGACTTATTTGATTTTAATTTAATTTACCAGATATATTGATGATATCTTTTTTACATCCAATGATTCAATTGATAAAGTTAACAAAATGTTAGCAGATGCGAATAAACGTCATTCAAATATTAAATTAACTGCTACAATTGATAATCCTATTCCATTTCTGGATATTCATATAAAAAATACTGCCAATAATTTCATTACTTCTGTCTATCATAAAGAAGCCGCTGAGCCATATGTTGTACCATTTCAATCTGACCATCCACGACATGTCTTTGTCAATATTATTGATTGTGCACTTCTTCGTGCTATACGTTATTCATCAACGTTACAAGAATTTAATCATCAACGACGTACTCTTAAATTAATGTTGCTCTATAATGGGTACGTGGATAGTTGATTCAAAGTTTTCCTTTTCAAGCTATCACTGTTGTCCTTTTTAGTTATCCTACAAGATATATTTATAGTCGATTCAATAAATTTTTTGCTAAATGTTCTATTACATCGACATCAATTATACCTATGATACATGATGAAAATGAATTTTTATTTTTACGTCGTCAACTATTAGAACAAGCAACTGTTCCTGAACATCGACGAGCAGCACGCATTCCCAAAACAATGGATTACAACAACTTTCATTCAAGCATCGATCCATTAGTCAAAGCAAAATTATTAAAACGACGAGAACGAGCGAATTCTATTATTCTTCATCATACACATGAAAAACGTTTTTCACATTATAAACGAGATATTCATCGAATATGGAATGATATATTTCATAATACACCAGTTCAAACAACAAAGCTCATTGTTGGTACTCGAAACAATCCAAATCTTTCCAAAGAACTTGTCCGTAGAAGTCCCTTCATCAGGAATCGAAACAAAAACAATAAAAAACAAACCACCAACTGACTATTTTTTGTGTTCAACATTTTATTTCTCCCTTTCTATGTTTCCATATCCATCATTATTGTACATTAAATTCTCCATTACATCAAAATTTAAGGCATAGAATTCTATTCTCCTTCTTCATTGAAAATTCACAAAAACCATTACTCATATTTTTCCAATACACTGAAGCATCCTAAAAAATTTCTTTTTCCTTTTAGATAACTATCATCATCTAGCAGAAAAAACCATCTTGTCAAATAATTACACAGTTCAACACTTATCCAACCACAAGAAATGTCAAGCATTCAAAACTCCCGTCCTCATCAATAAAACCAACTCTTGGCCTTCCGAGACACACACTGTTTAAAGTGATATCTGTTGTTCTATTAGTTTCGTATTTTCACGATTCTATAGTTCTGTACAGATTAGTGTATTTTGTTTATGATTCTTCGGAATTATTCGAACAAATACCACAGTCTAAAGCCAACTGAGGAGTTGATCTTTACGGAGATCACGAAATCCTTTGGATCTTGGCCTTCCGAGACACACCCACACCCCACACCCACACCCACACCCAAAATAATTAAATTTCGATTTTTAGATAGGTACAAAAAAAATTATTTATGCGGTAGATGGTTAGATTTTTGTGATGCTCTATATCGTCGTTTTTGTTCTCGCACTTGTAACATATACTTGGATTTATCAGTTTGTCGCTTTCGTTCTCGATAACGGCGTACATATTCTCTGTTGAGTCTTGCAAGATGGTGTTTACGCATTAACAATACTTGATCAATCATATCATTTAATAACGGAACAATGATAATTTCTGGCGTTTGTTGTTCAATATCAGATATATTAATAGTATGATTCATTGTACGTTATGTGATAAAAATGAAGAAACAATTTAACATGAACTTCATGGCGCATAAGTAACAATATATATATTATTTTTTGCTGCTCAATTTTTTTTTCGGAATGATCTAAACTGTTATGAAATTTT